TTCTGTAATTTCTTTTTTTTTGAGTTTAAACAAAATTGAAAAAAATTAGAGTGTTTAATTAATATCTACTTTCTACATTTTGAGAGCTACAAGTTTTAGATCAGGAGATTTTGGTCTGTAATTTTATAAGTACTGTTGAGTTGCGGAATTTTACATGCAAATAATCTTAATTTTGAGCTTTTTGGGATTTGAGCTTTGGCTAAAAAAAAATGGAAAAACAGATTATGTTTTTGTCTGTTTGGTTGTTCTTCAATTTTCTTTCGGATTTACTTTTTGGTTGACCCAATCTTCAGGTGCTAGACTGCTATAGAGATATATGTTGGGTTGTATGCTGGCCTTAGTCCTGGATGGCAACTTAAACATTAGACCCACTTAGAGTTTGTTTTTCGGGTTTGTATCCAGTTGTTCATTGATACAAATATAACATTTTTGGAAATATTTATTTGATCCAGGTTTAGAAATACTTATTGGAGGTGCCTGGAATGAGACCCTTCATTTGATGTAACAATAAATGTTCATATGTCGTTACTGAAGGCCTTGAGACACTGTTTTTAATTGTAGATTCACTGATTGGAATCTCGTTGACTTATATATGCAAAGTTCAGTTGAAAATCTGAATTAGGTTGCTGCCTTGCAGATGTATGACAATTCATGGACTGTTAGTGCAGTAGAGTTGTAGATGCATGGCAGCTCTGGTTAAACATCGGTGCAACTGTAAGTGATTGTTTCTAAGCTTGAATTAGATTTACTTGCATTTGTATGAGAATATTTATCAGGTTCATTATGTAGGATTCCTCTGAACTTCCCCAATCATTTTGTAAGTTTTTCTACTTCTCTGTCACACCATCAAAGAAAGAAAGTCTTAATTGAGATTTGGCCGCTGAGTTTTTTTGGTGCTGTCAAATTAACTGGATTGGTGCAAGCATTTTCCAAGAACTGCTTGACTAGCTGCGGAGGCTCTTCATATAATCAAAGCATAGAGAAAATTATATCAGGAGAAAGAGTGGCATATCCAATAATCATTTATCTAGCTCTGTCTTCCTTCTCTCTCTAGCATATGCAATAATGCCTTGTAGATTTAGGATCTGGGATTAGCCTTAAGTGTGCAGCAGTAAGCTTCCGGTCAAAGTAGATTATGTAAAAGTAGACCTAAGAACTTGGTTTCGTAATTTTCAGGTTGGAAAACATTTTGTGGCTATATTTGTTTTCCTTATAGCCAACTGCTATTGCTGCTTCTGTAGTTTGGATTGAATGATGTCCAGATAAGTTGAACACCCTTTTTCTTAAACAATGGTTGAGCAGTAGCACCACCATTCAAGTTTATCACTTGAATGCGCTTTATCAGAGCTATTTACAGTGTTCAATCTCTCTTGAGACTAGGAGCAGGGTCCTTTGCTCAATCTCAGGAGTCACAGAAAGCTTTTATGCATGTCCCACTTGCTCTTGTTTGGAGTTTTGCTTTTAGTTAAACCATTTATGCTATGAACATATCACTTCTGCTAGTTGCTAAAATCATGTCCGCTTTGGCTCCATTGGAGCTCACGGTTGAAGATGGTGTGAATACTTAAACAAAGGTAGATGGGAGGGGGTCAGTAGGGTCTCTCGCCTCTCAAAAATTTTAAAAATTTTAAAACATATCTTTATTTTTATAACATATTTTTACGTTTTTAGAATTTTATAATTTTTTTTCTACAATAATTTTTTTGTTCGGGGAGATGCCTTCCTTACAACAATTAGTTAACAACTAATTTTAATAGGCTTAGGACTAAAATAAAACCTATTGCAATAGAATTCTAATTAAATCTCACTTCTCAAAACTTTACAACCACGCCTTCCTATTTTATTTTTTATTTTTTACCAAATAGAAACAAAAACTCATTTTTTTTCTTACACTTTTTGTGAAGAAGACTTTTAGTCAGTAATTTAATTTTCATGTCATGATAATTAATAAGTTTGGTATATTCACTCTTAACATATCTTTGGACCTTTGTAAATAAATATTACTTGATGTCTTTACTAAGCATGATAAAATGTATTGAAGCTATCAATGGGATCTATTTAGGCTTGACATTCTTCATAATCAGGCTTTTAAAAATATATTTATATTTACTGAATTATGTTAAGTATTGAAGAAGACGAGAACATCAAAAGTTTACTTGCTTATTAACAAATTAATTTGGTTTGTCTTGCTTTTTTCAGTTTTCACTGTAACATTAGAGCATGCATTTTTTGTTTTGAAACTCATTAAGAATGAGAGTAGTAATAGAGTGTTAGATGATTTTCTTAAAAATTCATTGATCATTCTCATTGAAAAAGAAATTATTCAGAACTTTTACATTAATTTAGTAATAGATGCCTTCAACTTTATCTCTATGAAGACGATCAAACTCAATTAAAGATATTCAATTTTAGCAAATAATAGTTGTTAAAAAATGTCATTATTTTGTACACAACACGTAATTGGAGTTATTTATATAATTTTCATATAAATTTTTCATCTAAGTTACATTATGTTTTTGTCAACATTGAATTGTTTTATAGACATTGTCTTCATTCCCAAACGCGAAATCTTGGCTCTGTCATTGTACTTGAATATTCAATCTCAATCTAAACATCTCTTATTCCAATCAACAAAAGGTGCCTCATAAATTAAAGATGGTGTAAACATTTAAATATCTAACTTCACTCGAGTAAATAGCTGATATGAGATTTATTTATGACTTTCCTCCGAGACTATAACACGTAATGCTATTTTTTATTGCAAATTATATGCTATTAGCCTGTTGCCCCAACGTTGTGTAGAGAAGGTTTTACATTTGTAGATAAGTTTATTATAAAATTTCATACAAATTCTTATGTGATGTTCATGTTTATCAAATGCAATGCATTTTACATTTGATAAACATGAACAGCACATAAGAATTTGTAAGAAATTTTATAATAAATATATCTACAAAAAAATATATCTACGTTTATAAATGTAATTCATGAAAATAGTTAATAACATATATCATCAAAGGAGTATTGTAATCATGGTTGGAGTGATGCCAATATATGGAAAAAATTATCATAGGAGCTATGTACCAGTCCTTTTAAAATGTTGTTTTTCTTAAAATGATTAAATCGCAATTGAAATGGGATGTTGATAGTAACAAATGAATTTTCTCAACAACAACTACGACACTTAATTGATAAATATGTATTAAAAAAAATTTCGTGAAATGTGTGGTAGGTTTTTAGAGTCTCTTCTTAAATATGATCTTACATTAAAATAAAATAATAAAAGTATAAAAAATATTAAGTGTCAGTATGATCTTGCATTAAAATAAAATAATAAAAGCATGAAAAATTAAGTGTCAATTTGGATAACATTAAGAGTAAAACAGTAAAAGTAAGAAAAGAAGGGCAAAAAACCAACCAAACAAGGAAAAGAACAACCAAGAAACAAAGAGTAAAGAGTTGAAAAACTAAAGAGAAACTTAAGAAAGCGTGAAAAGAAGAGAAGAAATTTATGGAACTACAGTGTTATGAAAAAGATCATAATAACATGAAAAAGAAGAGTACGTAAGAGGAAGTAGCTGTAATCACTCAGGAGTGTTTGTTTGGTAAAAGGATGTAATATGCTTACAACTGTAATCATATTACAATGAGAGAAGGGAATGTCATTCCTTCTCTCATGGAAGGATCCGCGCAGAGAGAAGGTTATATATATTTTTCTTCTTGAATTGACCTTTTCTTCTCCTTTTGGCCTTTTGCACTTTCTTCTTCTTGTCTTCATCTCCTTCTTCCTTCTTACCTTTTTCTCCTTCTTCTCATCTTACTTTTTTTTTTCTTTCGTCTTACTGCCTACAGGCTCACCACTGTATTTAGGTCAAATTTCATCACTAAATCTGAAAATTGAAGAGATTGAGACTTTGAGTTTTATAAAATTTTAATTTAAAATTTTAAAAAATTTAAAAGTGTTTTGAGAAAAAATTATGCTTACCAAAAATTGTGAGAGAAACATTTAAATAGTTTGAAATCGAGAAAATTTACTCAGGAATTGAAAGGATTTAAGAGGGAAGGATGTTTGGTGCAAGCATTAGGATCGCTTAAAATTGAATATCTATCTATAGGTGAGATATATATTCAAACTTATAACAGTTGCTATCTATCTATCGATAAATAGTATAAATAAATAATATGATCTATAGATAGAATTTTTTATTTATCAATATATTTATCTTTGGATAATGTTTTTTATTTTTAATTTTTATAAGTTTAAGGTGACAATAAATATTTAGTAATTTTACATATTTTAATATTTAAATAATTAATATAAAAATATTATGATATTTTTTATTGTTATTGTTTATTATTTTAATTACTTAAAATTTAAAAATAAAATCTTATATTAAAAATTATAAATTTATTCAACTTATATGTTTTTATTTATAAGGGTAATTTTATAAATTTATATTATATTTATAGTAAAATGCTTACAAATTAAACACTATAATATAATCCCCTTAGCAATAACATTTCTGGCGATCATCATTTTCCCTTATTATACCAAGCGCTGTAAAGCTATATTTCTAATAATCACATTTTTAAAAATATACCAAACATAACCTAAAAATTTGAAATTTGAAATTTTTTTCTTATTTAATTTTAAGTATAATATTTAAAAAAATTTAAATTATTCAAAACGTTACCTATCATTTTATGTCAAATGGTGTTGACGTAATATGTTTACACATTTGATTGATCATAATAAACAAATAAATTTTTATGTAAATTTTTTTAAATAATCATGCTTTTTAAAACATTATACTTTTAATTTGGTTAACTTATTTTTTCTTATAAATGCCGGTCCAATAAAAAAGAAGCTTGCACGGCGGTCCAACTCCTAAATTATGACGGTCCGATGAGATTATGAACCGGGTCCATATCTCAATGTGCAAATGGCTAATTTCGACCTTTTAGTTTTAATAATTTGAAAAAGAGAGAGAGAGAGAAAGGAAAGTAATGCGACTCTCTTTGAACACGGCCATAAGGCTCAAGGCCAAGGCGCCTCATCTCCTTCACTCGCTCTACCTACCCGCTGCCAACACCGCGCTACCGTTTCGAAACGTTGCGACTCACTCGAAAGCAACAACTCTAACTCTAACTGCAAAAACCAGAGCCTTTCTTCCGTCGCCTTTTCTTACCTGCGGGGCTGCCATGGCGACCGCCGCGTGCGTTCAAGTGAAGGAACAGATTGAGTTGACGGAAACGGAAAAGAAGATTTTCGATAGGCTTTTGAACACTCTTCGCTATTTCAATCTCCAAACTCAGCTTCGAGTTGCTGGTGGGTGGGTCCGGGATAAGGTGATTTTGCATTTTACTCACATTTTGGAACAATTTATGTATATATGTTTTGAAAAAAAAAGTAAGTTATAACTTGTGTTGTTTATGGCCTGTTTAAGTAAATTCCAGTGTTCAAATGGAAATGTAATTGATTAAAAAACATGATATTTGGGATTTTTATGGAATTTTCTAGCATTAAGGATTTTCAAGTAATGAAATAAATTTTTGGGAAAAAAAGAAGAAGACAATTTAACTTAGGGTGGACTCTTTTTCTTCAAAATAAAGTTGAAGGTGCTGCCTTCTAGCTAATTATTTCGCTAGAGTCATGATTTATATTGAGATTATTTAGGGTTGTTAAAGCACATTTGGAATGAGAATGGTCGAATGAGTTGCTGTCTATCGGTTAAGAAATAGAGAAAATCATGATAAGTAGAGTCGGTTATTATTATCAATTGAGGATAGGTGAGAAGGAGTTGTCAAATATATATTAGCCATGCATAATGAAGGCTAAGGATTTCCATTTATGATGAGCAAGTTACGGGATTAGTGTGGAAGGAATTAGAAGGGGAATGGGAAGGCAAAACCAAATTTGATTTTGACTGTGTCAGATGCATGGTTTAGGGAAAATTTAATAAAATATTTATTTTTATATAAAATACCGCAATTTTAATTTATCTATTTTTTTGTATCCTTAGCTTTTGAGAATGCTGTTTTACTGAATCCTTATTGTATCATAACTCATAAGTTGCATCCTGTGTCTGTTTGAGTGCTTCATAGATGGCTTGTGATGTTCCTATTGATTTTTATTTGTGGCATGTACCTTATGTTGGGTTCATTTCCTTTGCAGCTTCTTGGCAAAGAATGTTATGACATTGATATTGCACTTGACAATATGTTGGGCAGTGAATTTGTTGATAAGGTTCGGGAGTATTTGTCATCTACAGGGGAAGAGGCACAAGGGCTTGCTGTCATTCCAAGGTACACCATTCAGTTTATAGTGAAAAAGACATCTTTTTGCTGCTGTTTACTTGCCACGGCAATAAAGTACATACTGTTATTCTGTATATTTTTAACTTGCTTCCTTTTGTTTTATAACTTCATCAGGATAGTGTTTGGCTATATGTAATGGTTAGCTGTATTTATTTGTTTAAGCCCTTTGTCTGTGTTGCCTTGTCCTGATATAATAGTATATGGACTCCTAATTTTTTGGTTTCTTCCGCTATGCTATTTTTGGCCATTATACAGTTAAATTTAATTTTGCAGTAATCCTGAGCAGTCTAAGCACTTAGAAACAGCAAGGATGCGCCTTTTTGATTTATGGATTGATTTTGTGAACTTAAGGTGTGAAGACTACAGCGAGAATAGCCGCATCCCTACAATGGTAAATAAATTTTTGATAGTTAATTTTGGATGTAATTGTTGGATTTCTCCATTTGTGACCTGCAGAATATCTGATCATGTTTAGAAATCTCATTGATATGTATATATGCTCTATATCTTCTTTTTGAGGATTTGATGGCTTTAGCAGTTGGCTGTTGAGAATGAAGTAATTTGTTGAGACTTTGCTTTTTCATTAAATGATTTGTAGTTAGAGAAATATATTTATGGGGTTTGTGATAATTTACTTATCGTAGTAAATGAACCCATTAAAAGATGGTTTCGTGGCTTAACAAAAGATGCCTCATGAACCTTGAATTAATTGTTACTAGAAGTTTGTGCTGTTTAGCAGTTAAAGATATATTTTATCTTGAACATTATGTTACTTAAGTGTTGTATTTATAAGATTTAATGTTCACTAATGTCTCGATGCAGAAATTTGGTACTGCCGAGGAGGATGCATATCGAAGAGATTTAACCATTAATAGGTATCTTTCTTTGCTATAATTCACATGTCATAACTAGGAAATGAGCACTATAGTTCTATAGGCATGTTTAGCTTTCAATAAATTAGTAATGCAATTAATAATATTTCGTGAGCATAGTGTCTTGTCTGTATCTTCCTTGATATGATTTGCTGAGCAGATGGTATTAATGGGGTTTTCTTTTCATTTGTCAGCTTGTTCTACAATATTAACACCAACTTAGTTGAAGACTTCACTAAAAAAGGTAAGCATATTCTGATTGTTTTTTTCTCTTGAATCTACTTATTCCACATATTGTTAGTTTGCAGTTATGTTTCATTATTATTCCTTGCCATTTAATAAACTGCAGGGATTGAGGATCTAAAATTTGGAAGGATAGTGACTCCATTACCTCCAAAGGAAACGTTTTTGGATGATCCCCTACGGGTTCTTCGAGCTATTCGTTTCGGTACTTGATTTTGTATTTTCCTTTACTATCCTTGCTAGTTTATTATGGAGGAATATCATCTTCTGTTCTTGTGCTCTTTTTTCCCTTTAATGATTAGCATTGCATTTTTTAATCATGAATTAGGCATAGAAAAATTAGAACTCGTAGGCATGGAGGTATAGGGGAGTATGGTGTGAGGGTTTTGTAAGTAAGGTGGAATATAAAATGAGGTTTATTGGAAATTCTAAGTTTTTAGAGAGGGAAACTATAGAGAAAGTGTTACAGTGCTGAATGAGAGCTTTTGATATAAATATTGAAGGTACGTGGTAAATAAGGTGGCCTTACCAATGTAAGGCTTTCACAATGTGGATCACCAAACAAGGTGGGTGAGACAAATGAAATTGTGACAAATTTACAAAGTAGTTATGTGCGGATCTAAGTAATCGAGTAATACCATGTGTGTCATATGGAGTAAATGGGTGAGATTTGGGGGTTTGAGCACCATAAGCGTGCTGAAAGACAATTTTGGTTTCTTTGAGGACCCTTTGCTTAAACCCATCAGGCCAGTTCTCCCTGTTACATTCCAATAATTAGGTTTTAATGAGTTTTCTGACAAAACTAGATAAAATTAAGCAAGACATGATTCTATATACCACTTTTCTTGAGGGTCATAGATTGGTTGCAAATTTAAGTGGACTTGTGCTAATAATATTGTTTGAATGGCTGCACTGATTCTATTTATAAAAGGACAAAAGAATAGAAGAATGTCTGCAATACTTGGATTCTCAGTCATGGAAAGCAGGCTAAGCTTTCTTACAAGCCTTCTTGCAGACATGGCTGCATGGTTACCTATTTTCTGCTGATTGACCTCTGAATATGTGGATGGTTTATTTGACTTTTATTTTATCAATTAGGTGCAAGGTTTGGTTTTGCTTTGGATGAAGAATTAAAGAAAGCTGCTTCTTGTGATGATGTAAAAACAGCTCTTGCAGCTAAAATTAGCAGAGAGCGCATCGGAACTGAAGTATGTTTCTTTCATGCCTTGCTGCTGTTCTGCATATAATTATATTTCTGGGGAGATTCATGTTAACTTGTTCATATGGAGATTCTCTCTCTCTCTCTCTCTCTCTCTTTGTTTTATATGCCTTGTTGAACTTACTATTTGTTCTTTTTTCATGTTGCTTGTTTTCTATGCAGATTGATCTGATGATCTCTGGCAATCAACCTGTTAAAGCAATTGACTACATTTGTGATTTGACATTATTTTGGGTTGTTTTCAATCTCCCTCTGCAGGTTGAGCCTGCTGTATCAGAAGAATGCTATAGGTTTGTGGTTAATTTAATAATGTTATATCCTATCTGTTCTAGGTTTAGTGAAACACAAGTCTATCTTGACTTCATAAGTATTAAGTTTAAGAGTCAAATAAAATCATAATTGTCTAGTTACCTTTTGATAATGAATTAGAGGAATGCTCCGAAACAATGGCAACTTGCTATTGTGAATAATTTCATTTTGAAACCACATGGTGTGCAAATATGGCAATATTTTCTTGCTCGGTACATATGGACTTTTATTGTGTGAAATCTGGCACTTAGATGTTCTATACACATCAACTGAAATTCAAGAGTCTAAGTAAGTGAAGCTGCCAAGTCCTAGCGCACCAGAAGAATTTCTTAAGTGTGTTAAGCATTCTTTTTAAAACTTTCCATCTGAGTTTCTCCTCATATATTGTTCCTTTTACAATTTTATAGGCTTTCTGCTGCTTATTTGGATGCTACATGGAAACTTATCGAACTTATTGGATGCTCCAGCTTTAATGTGAGTGTTGAGACTCTTAATGTGTTTGTCCATTCTTTCAAGTTGCTATTGCTATCCTCATTTGACAGCAGCTTCATTTTTGATTTGTTCACTTTTCATCTATCCTATGTGTTCTCTTGTTAGCATCTGAATTATGGCATGTGAATTTTAGGATGAACAGAGAAGGCTGTCTTTGTATTCTGCTTTATTTCTGCCATTGCGCAATGCCACATATAAGGATCAAAAAGCTAAAAAGGTACCAATTCTGTTCCTTGTCTTCCATGTCTGAAGGCGAATTAAGTGTTAACATGTTTTCTGTTAATTGGATAGCATGTGCTGTGTTCTGATAGGGTGTATATATATAAGTTTAAGAAAGTTGTTGGTTATTGTTATATTTTTCACAATGGATAATTTCACTTGAGTGAATTTTTGTTGAATTAGTTTTGGAGTTTGATGGTTCAACCTATTACTCATCCTGCTTAGCCTTGTTATTCAAAACTTTTTGTTTATGGTCTAAGAGTCATTGTCATGCACTTTAGTGGGACTCCGTTAAATGTTTAAACTGGTGCTTTGCTAAATTCTCAGTTGATTGTGCTTGCAGTGTTTGGCTGGGCATACTTGACTTGATTTCTTGAATATCTTATGTGAAATTCTGAGGCTTTCTTTCATGTGCTTTTTGAAAGCTAAACCTGTGTAACTGGATTACAGATTCCTGCTGTCAACTACATTTTCAAGGATTCTCTTAAGCGAAAAGCTAGTGATGCTGAAACGGTGATCCAGCTCTACTTCCTCCTGATACCCTGACATATTCTTTGTTTTTGTTGTGATTGTTTAATTATAACGTGAATTGGCAGCCTTCTTGTAGCATTAATTACAATTCTCTTTGCTTTGTAGGTTATAAAAGTCCACAAGTCGTTGGACAAATTCTTATCTTTGATTCCTTGTCTTTTATCAAATGATGATATGCAGCTCGTTAAGGTTGATTGGGGACAAGAATTTGTCGATGTCCCTGTTAGTTCAAAACTGCGGGTACTGACAGGTATGTAGTTTTCACTGTTCTAGATTTTTCTTTTAAGATCTTCACTATGTTTTCTTTTTTCAAACATAGACTTCTGAGGGTGATTAAATTATGAGTTAGTTTTTTCAAAATGCTGACCTTTGATTTTACAACCATGTGAAAATTGATATTTCAAATTTGTATATATATAGTATGATAATAAGATTGTGCTATGAATAACAGCATTTTTGTATAAACATGAATCATCAAAGCAGGATTGCAATTGGCTCACTTATATTGGAAATAAAACTTCTTTTATATTGATACTGACCAAAGCATGCCTGGAGTCTTCCCTGAGAAAAGATTCTGATGGACATAGTTTCTAGAGTTGGGATCATGGATTGTCTACATGCATAATCATTCTGCTTTGGTTCTACCTGTTTAGGATATTCATGTTTTTTCATTATTAGTTATTTCCACTGAACACTTGAATCAACTTTACAGGCTTTACTATCAGCTTGATTTTCTTTTCACATTAGAACAATTTACAATGTGGAACATTTGTTGGGTTTTTTTTGCTAATCTATTATTCTTACATGTACAGGGTTTCTTCTCAAAGAAATTAAAGATTTTTGGCGAGTTGCTTTGTTGATGTCTACATTGCTATATCCCGCTGGTATTGATTGCACTCAAGATGATAGAGACAAGCACTTTCAACTGGATAAAAGAAAAGACCTTTTTGTGTCAGTTCAGAATGCCATCGTTAAGTTAGGTACAACCAGTTTCTTTTTCCTATTTGTTAAGTTTTTATGTTTTATCTTTCCTATGACTCCTATTCTTAGCCGCATTAACAATTGAAGTTGAGTATCTTTACATTTTCATGTGAAATTCTTTTTTTTATCATAGAGCTTGTTGTTGTTAGTCTTTCCATGCAGAACATGTTTACTGTGCTGCACTCTTTGCCTCTCTCACATAGTAATCGGTACCCTGATGCTTTTTGGCACGAAACAGTTACAAGGCCTAACAACCAGTTGCTGACTAATTGAGCTTTTTATGACCAAGTACTTGTGTACTCATACCTTAGGCATTAATGCTTAAAACTGCTTTCTTACCTGATAGCTCTAATTTTGGACCTTTAGTGTGCTATCAATCTATCTGATTTAATTTGTGAGGCTAAGCCAAGGAAAACAACTTCCCAAATATTAGTGGGAAGTTGTTTCTCATGGGCACTAAACTTGTCAACGATAAAAAAATGAGAAAGAACATGCTAAACCAAGAAAATGAAGTTGTTTATCGTAAACAATAGCCCTTTCTTTTATGCAAAGAACTGTGTTTACCCCTTTCCTTCCAAATCCAGCAATCTCTTTGAGTGTATTTTTTGGGCATTTTTTCTTCAATGTGGTCTAGAACTCTATATGCTACTATTTTCTATCTCTTTCCAGTTGTAAATATTGAAATTTCCATTAAAACTTTGGCCGTTAAGGAAATTAACTTTTTTTTTAGGTGAGTCAGGAATAGAAATTATCATCCTACACAAACAAGTTAAAACTGAAAAGAAAAATGAAGGCATTAATGCAATTTTCATGGGTTTATGATATATGTCAAAGATAATTTCAAGATTCTAATGACACGTCAAACTGCAAAAATATTTTTCTGTGTCATGCAAACAATAGAAAATGATTTTCTTTTCCGAGAAAATGTTTTCTGTGACAGTATTTCCCATCAAGATGTTTATTTACGTAACCTAAACAGATCCCAATTCTGTTATTTGATGTATCATGGTCAATTAATTTGTTCAGGCTGGGTTTGGAACTTGTGCATTCTCCTAGCAAGTCACATATGATGTGTTTTTGTTTGAATGCAGGTCTTGAGAAAGCTTGGGATATAAAACCATTGGTTAATGGGAAGGATATCATGAATGTTTTGCAGCTTAAAGTTGGAGGGCCTCTTGTTAGTGAATGGGTAAGGCATTTCAGCCACCTTAATGTTGTTTTTTTTTTCAGAACATGAAATGCTAATCTGTTCTTTCATTGGCAGCAACAAAAAGTTCTCACATGGCAGCTGGCACATCCGTCCGGGACTGCAGAGGAATGCCTTGATTGGATGAGGGAAACACATTCGAAGCGCATAAAGATTAAGTAACAGACTGGTTGCCGGACATTTTTCCTTCAGCCCTAGATTATCATAACAGGGGGTTGGTATACTTTTCTGATCACCCACTGTTCTGAACATCTTGGAGCTCGATTACCGTCTGAGCAAAACTGTCTTGAAATTTTGGGTGTCGACTCAAGCTTCGAAAACGAAGCTGAAAAGCATTGCTGGAGCAACATGATGTTCAGGGTAGATGCATAAGCATTTTGTCTACATTTACTTCAACAAAGTAGCATGTTCATTACGTAAAAGTATTGTAGGAAATTGGAGTTAGGTTTGATGAGTGTGATAGGCACAAAGGCATGGGATGCAATAACATACATCTTACTAAGTTAGTGGTGTAGTTGATCATCCTCTCTGTTTCCTTAATAACCACTTCACATATATTTATGAAGATCAATAAGAGTCCGAGGGTGTACTCCTTTTCTTTTTTGGTAGGATTCTTCTTTGTTATTTAACTATGTGAAAACTATGAGCAAAATTATTATTTTATAAATTTTAATTGTTTATAAGATTGTCACATATATTCAATCATATTATAATTGTTAATAATACTTGAAAAACTTTTAAATTTTTTATATTTTCATTTTAGGTTAATTTGTTTTTATAAATATCGGTTTTAATTAATAAATAATTTTTTATTTTATGTCATTTGATGTTGATGTAATATACACATAAAATAGGAGAATGTAGACAGTTAATTTGAAAAAAAAAATCAAATTTTTCCCTTTAAAAAAATTGAAACTATATTAAAGTAGTTGTAAAAATTGAAAAATCAAATATCGAATTATTTTGGTTAATTCGGTTCAATTATCAAAAATCGAACTCATGAAGATAGAGGAGGAAAATATGAGTATGTGGTATTTTTTTATAATATTTAATGTTGAGATTTTTTTTTTTAGTTATTCAGATTTTTTTAAATAGAATTTAATTAATCGAAATAATCAAATATAGCGAATTTATTTCTGTTCGGGTCGGTTCGGTTTAAATTTGCATGACGGTAGGAGAGGTGAATAAACGTGTTAGTCACGTATACAAATGTTGGGTACTGACCAGTCATTTGAAGAATTGCGGTTCCGTTGAACATAAAATAGGGAAGAAAGCATGGCGTTCACTCTTCATCACCCATAATCACCATCAGATTTACTTAGTCCGACTGCAAAGATGCGTTTGCTAACAATATTATGCAGCCTGGTGCTGTGGTTAGGGAAACTGGGGATTCCTGCGACAGCCCATCAGTTTAAGGTCGATGGGAAAGTGTTGGAGTTGGAGGAATCCAACTTTGACTCCGCTATTTCCTTCTTCGATTACATCCTCGTCGACTTCTACGCCCCCTGGTGCGGCCACTGCAAACGCCTTTCCCCTCAGGTACCCACCTTTCTCCATATGGGATCCAATGGTTTCAGCCATGAAGTTTCTCAATCTTTGGTTTCTGATTGAAATGATAGCGTTTTTGGTGTTCTGTTTATGTTGGGTTTTACTTTTAAGGATTCCATAATTGAAGAATGATGGTATCTATGTTTCTTGGGTTGCAGTTAGATGAGGCTGCCCCTGTTCTTGCTGGATTGAAGGAGCCCGTAGTGATAGCTAAACTAAATGCTGACAAGTTCACAAGGCTTGCTCGGAAATACGAAATCGAGTAAGCTTCTATCTCACATTAAAACTGAATTTTCATTCATTCATTAACCTCAACTACCCTTTGGTTATTATAAAACATATGGGGTTAAGAAGACGTATATAATGGTATTCTTAGCTATGATGGTAGTCCAAGTGTCAAGCTAGAAACTATCTTACAATTTATGTAAGTAGTAGCAAGGCATAGTTTTAAGCTGAAAGACATGGTTATTGCTTAATATTTGTCATTCTAATCTATTTGTTTTCCCTTTTACGCAGCATGCTTTTCACCTGACATTTTTTTTTATATGCGATTATAGGATGTGAATGGTTTACTTCAGCAAGAATGGTCCTAGAGTGTTAGGCTGTAGTTGGTCATTGGTTTTAATCTGATACTGATTTTGCAGTGGATATCCTACACTCAAGCTCTTTATGCATGGTGTTCCTGTAGACTATTATGGGCCAAGGAAAGCGGATTTACTTGTTCGATATCTGAAGAAATTTGTTGCTCCTGATGTCTCTATTCTTAGTTCAGATTCTGCCATCAATGATTTTGTTGAAGTAGCTGGTACTTACTTTCCTATATACATAGGTTTTGGCTTGAATGAGACGGTGATATCTAATTTTGCTGTCAAGTATAAAAAGAAGGCATGGTTTTCTGTGGCAAAGGATTTCTCTGAGGACGTCATGGTACTGTATGACTTCGACAAAGTTCCTGCCTTGGTGGTTCTTCATCCAAGTTATAACCAGCAGAGCATTTTTTATGGTCCCTTTGAAGGTTAGTTTGTTATCAGAGTATCAAGATTGACTCAGATACTAAATCTTCTTAAACCTTGGTCACCTACCTTTAATCACATATCGATGCCTTAAAATTGGCAGCTATTTTAGTCATTTCCTTCATGCCAATGCATATAAATACATTTTAGAAATTTGATAAATGTAAGTTGGGCTATGGTTTGTTGGCTGTGGGGATGATTCAAGGTTGGTTTTAGATTAAACAAAAAAGTGGAAACTGAAGAAGAAGAAAAAAGCAAAAATCTGGGCTTTGCACCTTGGGTTTGGTTGTCATATCAGAACAATGAAAACTTACATGTTCTATTCAATATGTTATATCAAAGATAGAACTTATAGATTATTTCAAATGATTGTACGTACCAACCTTAATTTAAGTTGAATTTGTCATGCGCAAAATTTTGTGATCAATGCAAACTTCTATGAATCATACTCTTCACTTTCCCAGATCAATTGAGTCTAAGAAGCTGCCACTTGTCATATGTTGACAGGTCTTTCATTTGTGCATACTCTCAAAGAAATCATTTCTTTCTCCAGCTTCATTGCCAATATGTCTTATGCATTAACGGATCAATATCAAAAGGTTAGCATCATGAAGTCAATCAAGCCAATGTACTTTTCAGCTTAAGCATGACCTAAACATTTAGTCAAGCTCATTCTAAACTTCAAATTTATCTGATTGACTGCTGCCTCAGCATCACCAATGATCATTAAGTATGATGGTCTTTTGGCTACAGAAAGAAAAAGCTATCTTAGCCACATTTTCTTCCCATAGGGCCAAAAAAGAGAGAAGTTATCTTACTCTTCTGGCTTCAATGATGCAGATGAATTTTTGGGTGATTTTATAGAGCAAAATTTTCTCCCTCTAGTGGTGCCCATGAAACATGAAACATTGAAGCTTTTGAAAGATGATAACAGAAAAATTGTCCTGACAATTATGGAGGATGAAAATGAAGAGAAATCACAGAAATTGATCAAGTTATTAAAGGCTGCTGCATCTGCAAATCATGACTTGGTATTTGGCTATGTTGGAGTGAAACAGTGGGAAGAGTTTGCTGATACATTTGATGGCACTGAGAAGACAAATTTGCCAAAAATGATCATCTGGAATGGTGATGAGGAGTACTCTTCTGTAAGTATGAACTCTTCAAATATTATGTTTAGCTCTTAACGCTTGTGGTAGACAGTGACTAGTTATCTTCTTGATTGTAGCGTAACTTACCATTGGTGCCACATGGACATTATTGATGTTAAAACAACATATCATCATGTGCATGCTTGTTTTTATTGACCACAGCAGATTGCAAATGCAGAATTTCCACACAAATTTTGGTTGCTGTTTTTTTTCTCCTTTTAACTACTGTAATCTGTATCAGCAATACATCAGAGGACATGTTTATGCTGCTCTGGATTTACTATACATTAATGTATGATAGGAAACATTCTGCATTTATCAAGTATTTTGCAGCTTTAATCACTGTTCTATTGAGAGTTCCCTGAATTCATTGAACATTGCCATTTCTTTGTTTAGAGCCTCAAAATTTTTGGCCAAAAAACAAAGCCCAAAATTTTGCATCCTAAAGCAAATTTTGTTAAATCTACAATCTATACTTCTGGGATTTCTTGTGATGGTTGGCTTTGGCGGTTACTTTCTCTATTTTTCAGCATATATATTTCTTTCATCAGCAAAACAAAACACTTTTGACTCATCTTCTACTTTTTATGGAAGGTTATTGGTTCTGAAAGCCTTGATGATGAAAATCAAGGGTCTCAAATTTCGCGATTCCTGGAAGGATACAGAGAAGGAAGACTGGAAAAGAAAAGAATTAAAGGGCCATCATTTATGGACTTTATTAATTCACTAATTGGCATTAGAACTGTCTATATAATTGTCTTTTTGGTTGCAATGCTGATACTTATACGAAGCCTAGGCAAAGATGACGAACCTCTCCAGGTTGGCACTCGCGATGAGGTCGATCATGCTGAAAGCTCCATGGCCGAAAGCAGTGACTACAGACCCGGGGAGAAAGAAGATTAAAGTGAGACACATACATTTGAGGAGATGGTCGGAAAAACAAGGATTGGAAACAGAAAAGATATTTGCACTGCTCCTTTTCAGCAATGATCTATCCCTGAGGTTATTCCAATGTATTCTGAACTGCTTACTGTATGACGTGTTTTAGAGACCCATATTTTTGTACCTATAGCTTATATTTATCAAAGGTTCGTTTTATTATATTTAGTATTCGTATTTTTGTGGCATCAATGCTTTTGTTAGGATTGTTAACAGGTATGATACTCGGTAATTTTGAAGTACCTTGATCTGAACCTGATGAATAAGTAGAGTACTCGGACTTTATAATTATTCAACTATGTTTAGAATTTTCTGCTTGAACCCGAACCTTAATACCCTACGCACTACGTATTAACTATCCGTACTTATTTATATACCCGATTATGTAAAAAATATTTATTAACCTTTTTACGAGTACCCATCAAATTGACTAGTTAATTTTAGCGATTAACTAGGACTTAGCCCATCCTTGTAAAGAGCAGAGTTGGGCAGGCCTAACTGAGACGACAAACACATACAAAGGATTTTCACCCAAGGGTGCTTGTTGGTCCAAATAGTTACGAAGATAAATAATTTTTGTATGGCCCGAAAACGAGAAACATAAAATTGATTAAATCATACAATTAATTTGTGTACTTTATAAAATAAAATTTAATCTTTATATAATAATTTATTTAAGTTGAATCATTTTATTTTTTTAATTTGTAAATTTCAATTTAAATCTTAATACTTTTGAATTTTTACTATTAAGTATATTAATGTGACATTTTAATTAAATTGACATAATATTTAAAATAAAAATATTCAAATATTTTTAAGTTTTAATTAATATTATATAAAAATTTATTAATATTTTATCTTCATCTTTGATAATGATGTGACAGTAAATTACGTACTGATTTAGCTAGGAGATTTGTTTAGGTGCTTACCAATGAACAAAACCTCTTACCCCACACGTCAACATTTTTTACCGTGTCAATAGTAAATACAATCAAATATCATTTCAGCATAATATAAATACTAACTTAACATATAGTCAAACACTACCTTAAAAGTAAATACCATATTATTATCTTTAATTAATATCATGTGAATTTATCAACATATTAATAGTGTTAGAATTTAAATTGAAATTAATAAATTAAAAAAATATATAATTATTTAGTTTATATAAATTATTATATAGGAACTATGTCTATATATATATTTTTTATAAAGTACAGGATTTATGGTATAATTTAATCCACAAAATTGAGTGATTTTCAGTGAGAAGAACGGGTCAAAGTAAATTCAAAGAAATGAATTGGGCAAAGCCGAGCAATGACCAATGAACACGAACCAGAACGACACCATAGTTGCGTAATGTTGAAAGAAGGTTGAGTTTGAACAAGTAACAACTACCCTGCTTCTTCCACAATTTGGTACATCACCCATTGGGAAATACAATGCGAAGAGTCTGCTATTCCTCCCCATAGTTTCTCCACCCTTTTGTCCTTTTCTCTCTCTCTTTCAAAGGAGAGAAATCTGGGAGAGAGAGAGATAAAGACTACCCAACTGGCAATTACTTCCTTCGACCATGCAATTGAAACCTCTCAACACCTTAACCGTCACGCTGATGTTGTTCTTCACTTTCGTGATCCTGTTCTTCTCCGGTTTCCTTGAATTCCCATCTCTCGCCAACTCAGTCGAACCCCTTTCCAAACCCACCGAGAGCCTCAATTCCGAGCCTGACCAATTCACTGATTTGTTTACTGCTTTCAAGAAATGGGATTCTCGAATGGGTTGTGCCCAGTTCAAGGAAAAGCACAAGGATTTGATCCATTTGCTTTCCAACAGGTCTGGGTCTTTGCAGGAAGCTGTTGCTGATTCTGGGTGCAATGAGTTGAAAATGGAACATGTTACTGTTTTGGTCAAAGGGTGGACTTGGATTCCTGATAATTTAGATAATTTGTATTCTTGTGGATGTGGAATGAGTTGCTTGTGGACTAAATCTTCCGTTCTTGCTGATAAACCTGATGCCTTTTTGTTTGAGACCACTACCCCTCCACTTCAGGTAGTTTTTCTCTTTGCATCGCTTTGCCTTTTTTTTTTTTTGTGCTTTTTCCTTTTTGGCTTGGCTGCAATTATGGAATTTAGAAATTTTGTTGATTATCTGTTTAATTAAAGTGGAAATCTTGGAGTTGGAAATGGTGATTTGGTGAGGATTCTGTCTATTCTTGGTTTTTATACTTGTGATCTACTTGTCTCATGGTATTTAAAACTCAGATTTTGTTTTTTGAATGGAGTCATGGATTTGAATTGGTTTCTAAGGAGATCAAAAGAGAGGAGTGAAGTATTGAATGCATAAAGTGTAAATCATCACGATTTAAGTGAAGTGAAGTGAAGCTTGTGAGTAATTCAGCTGCAGTGAACCAGATGTTTGGTTTGGGGACATGAGGAATTTGATTTTAATAATAAGAGTAAGTTGAGTAACCAATTTGATTAGTAGAGTGTGATGATTTAAAATCTAGGAGATTTTACTCTGTGGTGATGACAGGGTTCCCTAGTTCTTTTCAACCATTTTCATTATTAGCAAAAGATAAGTTACTGCACAATCAACATCTAAATTGAAGTTGTTACACTTTTGCTTACGAATTGCTGCTATAAGCTATGTTACTTGAACTTAGGGGTGAGTGTCGAATACGGGTCTGTGATGAATGGAATATTCAATTTTTCTAAGTTTATCCATATAATTGGAGGGTTTGACCTCCATGCCAATGTCTGTTGGATATGTGTCGGACATGGGTACTTAAAGGAAAATGAAGAGTCAAAGCAACATAGGGTGTAGCCTATAAGTGATTTCATTTACTTTTATTCCACTATGATCTAAAAATTTTCAAATAGTAATTCTTTATATACCGTTGATTTAGGGGAGGCATAATGCCTAGAGTTGAAGAATCAGCTTGTTGGAAATTGATGATTTTTTACTTAAAAGGTTCCTCTAGTTGTTGGGAAGTAGGGTTGCTAAGGTTCTGTTGAGTGCAAGTCAGGTCTGGTTGTTAAGGTTTCTCCATTTACAGCTAGAGTCACTAACAGTGCATGCCTTACTTGGAAAAAGGTAGAAGAAAGAAATGTTAAATGCAGTAGTTGCTGATGACATCATATAGGAGCTACTTTCAGGGTTTCATTTAAAATGAATACAAGATGGTCAATTTTTTACCCTGCCTGAGAAGCAGGATGTTGAAGAGCCACTTTATGTGCCTTTCTATGTTTTGAAGCTTCTTTTAAAATCTGCAGTAAAGGGTAACAAAAAATGGCAGACCCAGCTTTCTCCATACTGTGCGGCCCGCTCATGGTTCTTTAATTTATGCAGTAATATGTGCTTGATAGAAATTCTCTCTCTCTCTCTCTCTCTCTCTCTCTCTCATTGTAGAGAAGGCTCCATTCATGAACTTTGTCCTGAATTATGTTTCTTGTTTAGAGACAATACATTGAGTTGGGCATTATGTGCATGTGCATGGTGTGTAAAGGGATGCAAGAGATGAAATATTTTGCTATTGTCCAGTTAAGTTCCAATAAACATCCTTTGTCTTTTATTGGTAAACCATATTGCCCCTACCATCAGAGTCATGGAAACTCATACAAACCTTGTAATTGATAATTATCAAGCAAGGTTCTTGAAAGGTTTCGTGCATAATCTTCTATATGCAAATTATGGTCAATGGTTTCCTTCTTAGGAGATCCTCTAAATCAGAAACTTGTATTATATGACTCAATCTTTTATGTTGCATTAACTTTGTAGTTTGTACCTTCAAGGTGCAGTTAGGTCCTTGAGACTTTGTAGTCAGAGGCAATTGTCTTGGAGAAGAGTATGGGCATACTTTGGCTTGTAACCCCACAGAACCATGAATTCATTTCCCACTTTTGATATACAAATCATTAGTTATTAGAAAACCTTGTCGAAAGAATCTTCTTGGAATCGGAATCTTGTTAAATCAAATTTCTGAGAAGCATTCCTTTAGAGAAAGGGGAAGAAATCTAAAAGAACCTAATATATCACATTATAAGGGTCCTGCTTCTTGAAGCTAATTCTGCCCCTAGTCAAGTCAGAATAAGAATAAAACTTTCATGTAAGTCATTACAGTTTTGAATATTGTATAACAAGTCCAGAGGTCCGGTATCAAAAGGACCTTAGTGTATGAAGTGTATGAAGAGATGCAAGAGAAAAAAAACCTTTCTCTTTCTCTGGTTTTTTTTTTCCAGCCAAGCATTACTAATTACCATTTGACTTCTTTCTTTATCCTCTTAAGTCCTTGCTTTTCATTGGCATTGTCCAGGCTCTTGCTTAGCAAAAATAGTAGCCACCAGGACCTAGGAGCCATTCCTCTTGACTTCTCTCAACATTCAACCAATATAGAAACTCCAGTACTTATCTGCAAGTAGTTATCATGTTATTTAGACATATAATTAAAAATTTAGCTATTCCTACATCAAAAAGTACCTAATATATTACAATTATGAAGGGCCTGCCTCTTGAATCTAGTTCTGCCCCCTAGTCAAGGAAGAATAAGAATAAAATTCTTCATGTAAGTCTTTACGGTCTTGAACATTGTAACAAGTCTGAAGCTCCTTCATCAAAAGGACCTTAGTGTATGAAGAGATGCAAGAAAGAAAAAAAAAGAAGAAGAAACTCCAGTATCGCTAATTTGACTTCTTTCTGGTTTTTCTTCCAACCAAGCATCGCTAATTTGACTTCTTTCTTTATACTCTCTTAATTAATTCCTTGCTTCTCTTTGTTATGTCCAGGCTCTGGCTTAGCAAAATAGTAGCCACCAGGACGTAGGAGCTATTCCTCTCAACTTCATACAACATTCAACCAGGATAGAAACTCCAGTACTTATCTGCAAGTAGTTATCTTGTTATATACTCCTTTAATGACAAATTTAGCTATTCCTATATATTATTCTGAGTTTGACATAGGACACACTTGCGCTAAGTATGAACAAACCCATTACCCAAGCATCAGTTTTAAGTTTTAACAAACTTTAGACAGAACATTGTCAGTGGTGGACAAAGAGAAGGGTAGCAGTCTGGCTGCAGTTCTCTAAGTGATGTAATCCAGTCTTCTTCTTCATGCATGTTAACATCACAATCATTCAGAATACCTGTAATATAGCCATGTAGGATGTTGTGGCTTCCTTTGTTGCTTATATGAATCGTCCATACATTCAATATTTGTATAATGCTTCTGGGATACTTTGAAATGGGGCTTTTCTTTTTGGTTAGAGGCGCAGTGGAGATCCACTTCGTGTGTACATGGACCTTGAGGCTGGCAGGAGGCATTCAGGTCGGGAGGATATATTCATCAGTTACCATGCAAAAGATGATGTTCAGTCAACATATGCTGGTGCTCTCTTTCATAATGGCCGAAATTATCATGTATCTTCATATAAGAACAATGTGAGTAGTTGGCTTTTTATTTCTTTGTTCATTGTGTTGTTTCCTGATAACTTACTTCCATAAATCAGTGGTTGTAATCACATCTGGGTTCTTTTTCTTTGGATCAATTTCAAGGATACGCTTGTTTATTGGTCATCATCACGTTGCCTTCCTCAAAGAAACCAGCTTGCCAAGAGGCTACTCAGATTGCTACCTCACCACTCATTTGGAAAGTGCCTGAACAATGTCGGTGGTTTAGACATGGCCCTTTCATTCTACCCTGAGTGTGCCAATGATGCCAATGCCCCAAAGTGGTGGGACCATTTACATTGTGCCATGTCTCATTACAAATTTGTCCTTGCAATTGAAAATACCGTTACAGAGAGTTATGTGACTGAGAAGCTATTTTATGCTTTAGACTCTGGTACAGTTCCTATCTATTTCGGTGCTCCTAATGTCCTGGACTTTGTCCCTCCACATTCAATAATAGATGGAACTAAATTTAGTTCCATGGAGGAACTGGCTTCCTATGTGAAAGCCCTCGCTAACGACCCTGTAGCTTACGCTGAGTACCATGCCTGGAGAAGATGTGGTGTATTGGGTAACTATGCAAAGGCCCGTGCAGCAAGCCTTGACACATTGCCATGTCGATTGTGTGAGGCAGTAAGTAGAAGAGGTGGGAGAAATGCATGAACATATTGAATTGTTTATTATTCTTGTAGTTTTCATTTTACTCTTCTGGTATTTGGGAACTATAGTGAGTCATCAATTTTGTGTTTGATTGAATAGAAGAAAATGGCCAATGGGATTGGTTTTAGGTGTAAAGTAGCTAGATCAAAAATTTACAAAAAACAAGGGACAAAGAAAAGTAAACCAATTATATTTTTCTAGTTGCTTCACATTTTCTTGTTTTTGATCTTTTACTTTCATTTTCTATTATTTTTTGTGTACCAATGAAGTTGAGTATGAGGATGACAAAAGCTCCCACAGTAGGAACTTGAGAGGCTCATTTTGCTCAGCAACAGGGAAGTGTAAGCCTGAAGCCTTTGTTAACAAATTATATCATGCATCAGATCTTGCAGGCAACTCTTTATCATCATCATCTTCCTTATGGAACTTCCATACAGAAGCCATGATTCCACTGCATGTTGAAGGTTTTGGCTTCACAACCTTTTGGACCTGTATCAGCACAACCCTTTTTATCTTTCAGTAAGAAAGAACTAAGAAAGAAAAATGAAAACCCTTTTTCTTTTCTTACTTTTTGCTTAGGCTTGCTCTTCTGGATCTTCACAGTCTTCAATTCTTCTGGTCTCCTTTTAAGGTATTCCTTTAACTGCTCATCATTCATGGCATCTACTGTATCAGTCTACATGTTTCAGTGATCCAGCATCCGAAGCAAGTTGCCATAAGGAATTCCTCAATATACAGAAAAAGAAAAAAAAAAAAAAGCCAGAAATGAATACCCATTTCCTGAGATCATCTATATCTTTGACCAAAGCTTCTTCTTCTCCATCTACCATTTCTTTCTTCTCTTGCAATGACAGAGCCTTGGGCTTTGATGCTATCTTCTTGCTTCTCTTTCCTAGTCCCCCACTTGACATTTTTCCTTATAATTATATGGCTGAATCTACTCTGTAATCATGAAGGGAAATGATGCAAACAGTCCAAAGATATATGAGTAGAACGGTTCCTCAGATTCTGTATATAACTTGTAGCCCAAGGTCTGTCAACAAAACAAGAGCAGCCCAACCCCTAGAAACTGTTACAAAAGGCAAATGAATAACATGTGAAGCCGAATGAAAGAACGTTCTCTCTCTCTGAACATGAGTAGATGACAATTGGACGGGTCGAGTTTGGATGAAGTTATTTTTTGTCAAATTTTTTTGAGATTGAGTTATTTTGAGTTTAACTCATTTTAGATTTAAGATATTCGGTTTGATACTCGGTTATATATATTTGGGTTATTTTAAGTTTAAATTGTTAATTTTTAATATAAAATCAATTTAACTTCAAATTGTTTTAAATTACTTTTTTTTTGCTTGTTTATTTTAAATTACTTTTACAAGTTATTTAAATTTGATAAAATATCTAATTAAAGTCAATTTTGATTTAAATTATTTCTAATTCAGATTAATTCAAGCTCAAATTATTGACATTTTCTAATCAATTCGAGTTAGGATAAACTTTCTCCACTCTATTGATACGAGAAAAAAAATGCACAAATTAATAATTTTAATTTAGCCATATGAGATTCAACTTCTTTTAACAAGAAAAATGATATTAATATCAAGATTAAATTCAAACTCGAATTCAACCTACTATTAATTGTTAAATCGAAATACGTATCTTGTATGGTAATTTTTTTTAAGTATTTTGTATGGTAGAATTCAGAAAATTAATTATTCCCATAAAAGTATTATTATCAAACTAAAACACTGCTTAGTAATAGTAGCAGTGCTATGTTTGAGTTTTGATCAACAAACAAAAAGAATAGAAAAGTCGCGGTAAACGCTGTTTCTTCAAGGAAACCCAGGAAGAAACCATGCGTTTGCTCATGATCTTATTGCTGCTGTCTTGCATCTTCAAATCAGGAATTTGTTCGACGGCCGATCAGTTTAAGGTAGACGGGAAAGTGTTGGAGTTGGACGAATCCAACTTTGACTCCGCCATTTCCTCTTTTGATTACATCCTCGTTGACTTCTACGCTCCCTGGTGCGGCCACTGCAAACGCCTTTCCCCTCAGGTTTCCATATTCTTTATCGAATTTTTGGCAAAACCCGGATTCAGTATGGGTTTTTTGAGATACCATTTCTTGTTTGTTTTGTTTGTCTTTATAGGTTAGTTGAATTGATTTGATTCTGATCAAATTAAGAACCTTTGGTTTCCACTTTGCAGTTGGATGAGGCTGCTCCTGTTCTTGCCGGATTGAAGGAGCCAATAGTGATAGCTAAAGTAAATGCTGACAAGTATACCAGTCTTGCTAGCAAACATGATGTTGAGTAAGCGTCTATGTCTCTATTTTGCTCTAACCGGCAATCAAAACGAAAAAATTGAAAATATGTCTGCAGTCTTTTTTTGGGTAATGTATAGACTATAGAGTTGAAGTAAAAGCCCATGGTAATTGGTAATGGTTTATGTGCTTTGATACATTATTTTCAATTTACGCAATGCATTTCATTTGATGGGTTTTATGCATAATCAATAGGACATGAATGATCTATTTCAATATATGAAGCATACCCCTCGATCTAGGCCATTGTCATACATTATTTTCAATTTACGCAATGCATTTCATTTGATGGGTTTTATGCATAATCAATAGGAGATGAATGATCTATTTCAATATATGAAGCATACCCTTCGATCTAGGCCATTGTCATTGTAATACTTGTAATAATTACAATCTAAATTTGATTTTGCAGTGCATATCCTACTCTCAAGCTCTTTATGCACGGCATCTCTATTGAGTATTTTGGACCGAGGAAAGCAGAATTACTTGTTCAATACCTGAAGAAATTTGTTGCTCCTGATGTGTCCGTTCTTAGCTCAGACTCCGCAATTAGTGATTTTGTTGAAGCAGCTGGTAGTTTCTTTCCTATATACATAGGTTTTGGATTGAATGAGACTGTGATATCTAATTTAGCTGTTAAGTACAAGAAAAGGGCATGGTTTTCTGTCGCAAAGGATTTCTCCGATGATGTCATGGTGTTGTACGACTTTGACAAAGTTCCTGCTTTGGTAGCTCTTCATCCAAGTTATAAGCAGCAAAGCATTTTTTATGGCCCCTTTGAAGGTTAGTTTATTATCAGTGTCTTAAGCCCCTTTCAGATACTACTATCATGTTAAGTTACTTATTTTTTATCATGCATAACCTCCCTGGATATTAACTTCCGCTTTAGCCATTTTCATTATGCTAGTGCATATTGAAGATTTTTTTAGAATTTTGACCATAGCAATTTTTTTTTTTGTTGGTGGATTGGTAGAATGTAATTGAGTACTGATTCATCTTTTTGGGGTTTTTTATAATATTAATTACATGCAATATTAGATTGGTTTGATTTAGATCTAGTCAAACAACTTGATTTTGTATTTCCTATAAAAATAATTAGGAACAGATGGAAAAAATAAATTTAATTTATTAATGGATTTAGTAGAGTTACATGGCCCTGCATTGTGTAATTTTAAAATTTTTAAAAAATGCAGTTTGAGTGACTTTAGGTAAAATTGGAAATGCAGGAATGGAGTGTTCTGCATTAGCATAGAAGTCACTAAAATTGGAAGACAACTGTGTAGAATGTTTTAACTAGAATTGATATTCATGGTACTACTTGTGGAAATCAAAGCAAGCATGACAAAAAATGTGGAGTTGGATGTTTGCTCTTACAAGAAAATGTAGACTAAAGGGAAATTATATTTATAAGAAGAAGGAAGTGGTATAGCAGATTAGATTAGGGATACATGGTGGTCTTTTGATGGCTTGTTACATATCACATTTTTGTATAGATATGTTGGTGTGGAGAAGGATCTGATCCTAGTAAAATGTAAGAAATAAGTTAATGGAAAAGATCCCATTGACTGTAACAATGAAGAAGTATCTTATAGTGATTTATGAAGACCTTTAGGATAAGCGAATTGAAGGTAAAAAGATGAGAAGGTAATATTTGAATCATATGCTGAGTGTGGCTGAGATTAGAATAAAATGATGTATGCTTGATCATACAGGGAAAGGGAGGATTATGAACGAGTGCATAAGAGAAAAGTGGGGGCTGCACCCATTGATGATAAAGTAAGAAACACGTTTAAGGTGGTTAGGACACATAAAGAGGAATATGATGTTGTTATCCATTTTGAACGCATATCTGATATCACCCATGTCAGGAACATACTGATATCTGAAATTGACATGTGATGACATAATTGGAATAAAATTGATTGAAATCACTGAATTAACTAGTTTTTAGAATTCAGTTTATCTAAGTTCTTTTCAATTGAGAAGAGTACAAAAACAAGATAATATGGAGCCTCAATCATTTAGTTAAGATTTAGATATTACTTGATAGCACATTTAAATTCTCATGGACCATTGTTGATATGTGACAGTACTTTCAATACCAGATATCAAAAACGAGTTGTTAGTTTTTGAGCTGTGCTTTCTAGAGTCATAGCATGCATGCCAAGTTGGATCTCTCATCTTTATATTTTATTGTAGCATGGTGCTTTTAGTTTGTGTTACTGATATGATGAATCAAGAGGACTTTTAGTTAGTGTGATGTTTGTAACACATCAGTTGAGTTTTTCCTAGACTTCACGGCACTTACATGTGTAATTTTGTTTGAATCTGTTTACCTTTGACTTTTAATTGGCCATGCCTAAATCTAGAGATTGTTGAGCTGTAGTATATTCCAGTGTTTGTGCGTCTATTATTATGATTCTCATTTATCTGCTTTCTCCACACAGCATTCTATTCAATATGTTATGTAAGAAAGATATGCTTGCAGATTATGGTAAATTACTATACCAACCTCAAATTTAAGTTGGATTTCCACTACCCAATTAGGAGTTAGACTCCTATTTTGTGTGCTTTGCATACATGTGCACCATGTGAAATGATTACTCTTTCATGGTTTAATAATAAGTCGAACTTGCTTAATCCATGCTTGGACCAGGAATGTTGGTTATCTATGTGAATGGAAGCTTCTTCTTTCACATTTTAATGTTCAATTCATGCTCAGATAGTGGCTTTGTATCCTTTTTTTCATTTGCCTACTCAATTAAGACTCAGAAACTGTAACTTATTATATTCTTGACAGGTCTTTCATTCGATGAAAGATCCAATGAAGCCATTCTTTTTCTCTATCTTTTAGGTGTTTTGTTTATTGACTACTAAGTACATAATAGTCAAACTCAAGCATCATGGAATCAAATAGATAATAAATGAGGGTTAAGTGCAGTCAAGTCTCATCTGCTTTTCAATCTTATTTCAGTTTAGTTGAATATGACCTCAAACCTCAAACTGTAACATTATCTGAGCAGCTGTTGCCTCAATCTCTTCAACAATCAACATGATCTTCTTGATTTTTTTCAAGTTGTATACTTATTTTTTGCCAGCTCTATGTCTTCACATGCTTACTGTCCTCTATATCATTGATATGCTTTTCTTCTGCTTTAAAGTCCTCAAGCTCTTTAATCTTGCTCATCATCTGTAAATTTTTTCTGGCTGCATAAAAAACAAGCAATCTTACCTTTCAGCTTCAATCACGCAGATGAATTTTTGGGGGATTTTATAAAACAGAATTTGCTGCCTCTGGTGGTGCCCTTGAACCATGAGACATTAAAGTTATTGAAAGATGAGGAGAGGAAAATTGTCCTGACAATCACAGCTGATGAGAATGAAGACCAATCACAGAACTTGATCAAGGTATTGAAGGCTGCTGCATCTGCAAATCGTGACTTGGTATTTGGCTATGTTGGGGTTAAACAATGGGAAGACTTTGCTGATAAATTTGGGGTTGACGGGAAGACAAAGTTGCCAAAAATGATTGTCTGGAATGGAGATGAGGAGTACTTTTCAGTAAGTATTAATTCTTTAAATATTAAATCTTTAATTCTACGCACTAGCTTCAGTGCCTCAATGATGGTAGCTGGTTTTCTTCTTGATTTTAGTATAACTAATCATCAGTTCAAATGACAATATTAATGTTATACCAGCATATGATCATTGATCATGCCCATCTTAATTAGCATTGGCTACAGGATATTGAGAATGCATAGTGATGCTGATGCTTATTTGCATGGCAAAAGGCTCAAATTGGTCCTTCAATTCATTCCATCAAATTTTGTCCCATAAGTTCGAATATCTGCAATTAAGTATTCAATCTTTTGATCCTGAATCAATTTAGTCCTTTTTCAACTAAAATTGTGGAAGGGTCACTTAGGTGTGTGAAAAAAATATTAAATAATTTAATGGCAGCATATTCAACCTAAAGCCTAAAACTTGATCCATGTCTAACCTAAAGGTCATAGGCTCAAATCCAGCCTTCTTGAGAAAAGAATTACTTGATAGGATAAAGAAAAAATAAAATAAAAACTATTCCCTTGCCAGTATCTATTGCTACACTACCCTTGCAGCACCATTTTCCTTCCAAGGTTTCTTAATCTCAATCCTCAAGATTAGTGTCCCTTCACCTTCTCTGTTAATCTTCAGTTTCTTATAATTTATGACATGTCTTATTTATTTTTAATTGTAAATGGAGTTTAGTTGCGATATTAGCTGAGAAACAATTTTAGAGCATCAGTGGCTGAAGTGAAGTAGTGAGGACAAAGATTCAGGAGAACAAGGAAAGATTAAATAATAAGAGAGGAAGTGGTTTGAATAAACATTAAGTTGGAAGGGAGGAAAGAAAATAAAATAAAGGAGCCATCATCACTCGAGAAATGATCATGATGGTGGCAGACAAGAGGAGAAAAATGACCGAGGTTAAAGAAATAGGCTATGATCATATTGGAGCTGAATGTGTGAGGGTTTTGGTTAGGGCAGTAAATGAACTGTTGCATATGTTGGACACTGTGTCAATGAGCTAAGTTTTGGTTTTTCATTTTTGTTTATTGAGTCAAAGAAATGTGTTCAAATAGAATTTCTCAAACAGAGGTTAGTACATCAGTTTAGCTCAAAAAAGGGTGAGCTTGGCTTGTATACATTCTTGGATAGACTTGTTTAGAAGATGAGCAGCTTGTCCTTTACTAATTTAATCCTCGAAGAAAGATTGTTCAGCCTTGTTCAGAACTCATTTAAAGAGATTACATATACATGACAATATTAGAGTTTCTCTTTTAGGCTCTCAGTTCCCATTCTTTTCAACCTAGGTGCTCCAATACCCCACTTTTAGGGTGTTGAATTTTGAGAAATCCTAGAATTGAATGTGGATCTGCGAATTGTCCGCAGATACATGTCAAATTCAAATTTTTTTTTTTACAATTAAAAATGCTAAAACCTGGTGTTCAAACCAGGAATTTGGTAAATGTAATTTAAACCCTTAACCATCAAGCCATATTTCAATATTTGATAATAAGCACATTTTTATTAGACTTAAATCTTTCACTTAGTTAATAAAATTAAATTATCTTCTATAAAATCAATTTAACATTGCACCACTTTATCTAGTTATTGAAGAACACATAGGGCTTTTAAAGCATTTTAAGTTAGTATCTTTTGCTGATGGAGAAAAGAAGCAGTGCTACAAGTCAATATTGGTTCTGCATTCCTTAAACCATATTTCTTTGAACTTTTATTCGGTATTGGTTCTGTGACCAAGTGTCCACAATGGAAGTGAGAGCAATAATTGAAGCAAGAGCTTGAAAGTGTCAAAATCTAAGCATTTTTTAGTGTGATCTAAATTTTTATGATATGTATCATAAAATAGAATGATAATATTAAAAAGAATCCTTGTTTTTATCTCTTGATTTCTTTGAAATTAAGATTATAATTCTTTGTATGCAGCGACAAATTTACATGCACACATACACCTAAATGTATGCATGTGTATGTAGAAGCTGGCATAGTCCATATGAAATATCACACCTATCTACTTGTCTTAAATGTCTTCATCCAAATTGTGTACTCAGAAATTATAGAGCTTGCTACCGGCACTTCTGCTTCCAACTTTTAATCACTGTTTGTTGAGTTCACCTTGAATTCATTATCCCTATATCTTTTGAACCCATAAAATTATTTCTGAGAGCTAATAGGAGCTGGAGACTGTTAGGTTTTCTTCTATGATTTTTTCAGTACAGGTCTTTTTCTATGACGGTTAATCGAATTCATCCAGAAAAGAAAAAAAAGCATGATTGTTGATCTTGGTGGTTTCTTTCTCAATGTTTCAACATGTATCTCTCTTGCATTTTGGAACTCAAAAAAATAAATTCACTGATTTACTACATTTTGTTGATATGCAAGGTTATCGGTATCGAAAGCCTTGATAAGGAAGATCAGGGGTCTCAAATATCACAATTCCTAGAAGGATATAGAGAAGGAAGAACAGAAAGGAAAACAGTTAAAGGGCCATCATTCATGGGCTTTATCAATTCACTAATTGGCATCAGAACTGTCTACATAATTGTCTTTATCGTTGCAGTGTTGATGCTTATACAAAGTATTGGTAAAGACGACGAACCTCTCAGGGTTGGCAGACGAGATGAGGTTGATCATGCTGAGAGCTCCGAAGCTGAAAGCAGCCAGTATGGACCTGAGAAGAAAGAAGATTAAACTGAGGCATCTTCCTGGTGGACATACAGCAACACAACAAGATGTTCTGATGGATTAGAGTTGCAGTGTAGAAAAGAAACCTGTTACAATGCTCTGTGGAGAGGGATGATTCCTGCTTTCTTGACATGAATTTTGATATGCTCCACTGCAAGGCATCTTGTGCCAAGAAACCAAGTCTTCAGGAGTAGTAGTTTGTATTTATGAAGATGCCCTTTCTGTTTTCGTTTTAACACTGTTTTCACACATTTATGGCCCTTTCATCACTGTCAGCTAAAAGATCCAACTTTGCAATTTTTCTTCAGGAATGTACAACTAAATTTATTCTTATAATCATGTAGTATGACGATGATATAATTATATAATATTTTTCATTTTTCATGTCAAAATTAGATAAATGAAAAATGACAAATGAGATTTATATCGATTAATGATAATTAATCAATAATTAATCATAATATGATTTATTTAACTCAAAATAAAAATAACTTGATTACATGTGACAAAAGAATTAAAATGTATTTAAATTTTCTTAAATCAATCATGAACTTTCTCGACCCTTATGCTTAATGTATTTTTAAATGAAGCTTAAAAGAGTAAGAGTTGGAGATGTATTTTGTTCTTTTACGTTAATATATTTTTAATTATAATTCATATGTTCACAATTTATAATTAAAATATATACATGTAAATAATAATAATTGATGTATTGAAAAATAATGAAGAAAAGCTAAACTTATATAAAACTTGTAAGCATTTCTCATTCCTCTGGGGAAATGTTCATATTTGTTTTGAGTTTTATAGTAAAAATTTGGGATCCATACAAAACTCCCAACCCATTTCCCATTTTACCAAACTGGCTTGAACCCCATTACTCACATCTCCTCTAAAGAAACATTGCTTCATCATGTATATAAAGTTACTTCTAAATTGAAAACAAAATCCAAATGAAGGGGAGGACACATGGAAAGCAAAGAACAGAAAAGAAATAAAGCTAATATCAACATGACTAGGCATCCACACAATTCAGTAGTTAGGGGTTAACTATATTCACAAGACTGCTAAAACAATGTCAACAATCCTCTGCTCGCAATACACACATTCCTCCAGTACCAACTCTTGGAACCTCATTTATGTAAACCACATCATCATTTCGGAATCAAAACAAATGACCACAAATCTTAAGCTACAATGTACAATATCTGGCGGCAGACATGGGATAAGAACACCACAATCACATCAAAAGGAACCCAATAATGAAGAGTACCAGAGATCAAGAACGATTTAACTGTACAAAGGTCATTCCATTTTATGAAATTCAGCTCATTATCACTTAACTAGTTAACATTCTGGAAGAGATTGAGCAGATGCGAAAGGAGAAAAACTAGCAGCTGACTCACTGCAACGCAGTGGATGCAGCTGGTGACCAGAAGAGCTGACTAAACTTGGTGAGGCATTGCTTGGGCTTGGAAAATATGGGGACATGTATCTTGCATTAAGAGGTGATAAAGATGGGTAATTCAACGAGGCTGGTGAAACCAAATGAGAAGCATGGGATCTCTGAGAAGATGCATTCCTAAGATCTACTAAGCTTCGGCTTAAGCTGATGGAAGGGGATTGATGGTAGGACCTAAGTGATTGCGGGACATATGGAGAACCGGCAAGAGAATGAATATGAGAAACTGATGGAGACCGTGACGCTGCTGGGGCAATTTGTATGGCTGATGATGATGCTAATGAAGATCTAGCAGATGACAACACAGAGGAGGACACAGAGCTTGAGATGGATGAAAGCAATGGTGTACTTTCTGATGCTGGTGGATCACCTGTGCTGGTTCTTGCATCACGCTTGCAAACAGGGCAAAAAGTTCTCCATGTCGTAAGCCAAGAATCAACACAGAAAGCATGAAACTCTGAAAAAAGAATACCAAGAAATATTTAGACATGCAGTTATAAAATAAAGTAAATAAATCAAGTAACAAGTTAAGAAGCTTTGCAGATGTCTCAATCAAGAATGATCACAAGAGTCTACATTAACAACTTATATTCTAGTGTTCCAAATGATACAAATAATAAAAAAAATAACTGATGCAAAATCCATATTTCCTTTAAATTCTTCACAAGCCACATTCATTTGAGGAGGGGATGATATAGGATACAATTCAAGAACTTACAACCCCAATACAATTTGTTTCAGCAAGCAGCCCATGAAGATAAAAAGAAAATAGACTACTGAATTTTTGCTAACCTGCTGAAATTTTTGGCTGGATATAAGCACGACTGCGTCTTAGAGAAGCACTTCTTATTATTGAAAATCACAAAATAAAAAAAGGCAAAAAATATTAACACGGGATAGAGAAGAAGAGTTGGCTTTAAACCTAATACAGAGTGGGAAATTGAATGATAAGAAGAAAGAAGATAAGCTCAGAGTTTGACACCAAGATTCCCTTAGAAGTCATAACCTGGCATCTGAAGGATTACACCTTGAGTCAGGGTTACTTAATTGCAATCCTAATGAACGCATAACAGCTGCTAGAATTTTCATAAATTTGATATTAGTAATTGGAAGAAGTTGAGACTTCTAGCTAGCCTAAACCATTTAAAGTTTTCATCTACATTTAAAGTTTATATCCCACAGCTGCAAACAGCATACAACCATCAGGAAAGCTTGACATAGGATAGCCACAAGCAAAAAAGGTCTCATGAGATTGGTGGCCTAATAACTAGGCAAAAATACATACAAAAAGACACTGGGCTACCACATCAAAACAAAACAGCAAGCAATGTCATCCTTAGTGTTGGAGGAAAGCTTACTATGACGACATGGTAGAATCCTGAGCTTCTCTCCAACGGTATAGTCTTCAAGGCATATTGCACACGTTCTTGAAGTACAATTATCCTCTAAGACAGCAGTGAATACCAAGCTGGGCATTGCTTTTACTAAACGCCTGCTCATTCCATGGAATTCACGAACTCGAGAAGATTGAGGGCGTTCTCGTCTGATGCGATGTCTGCGCACAAAGAAACAAGTTGCCAGCACTGCTGACATGGCAAGTAGAGAAATAAAGGAGATCGCCATGATTGACCAAGCTGAGTTTTCAAAACTAGGGATAAGCCACAGCTCCATATCAGTAAATCCGGCATACTTTCTGAGTATTTCACCAGAAGCTTTGGAGACAAAGACAGCATGTATCCTTATGCCTGCTGCAGTCCCTGCCACTGTAAAAAAATTAAGATGTAAGATCAGAGGAACCATATAGAAAGCATATATTTTTGTTCAAAAACAATAACAATGAACGAAGCAAATAAACTTCTGCCACTTGAAGAAATTTTAAAAATAAAAGAAATTTGGAACAGATCAAACATACGCAAATCAATAATGCAGCCATTTATAAATGTAGATGAAATAATTGATGATAAAGATTTGGTCCTAATTCTCACTCTTAGCAATCAGATTCCAGCAAGAGAATACCACTGTCATGTATAACATATCTTTAATTTCGGCACCCTCTCTCTGTCATTTGCAATCTACTGTAGCCAAACAGTTTCTTCCTGACGATTAATCCAACATCCAAAACTTTACTTGTCCAAGATGAACCATCAATTATAGGCGTGATTGATTAAAACCATTTACGCTTTGACAGGTGCAACATCTTTACTCAGCCAAACATGATGAGTTATCAGAGTAAACTGTCTTAAGTATTATAATATGCATACTGCTTTAAAGCATCACATACAGCACAATTGAGCTTTACATGAATGAGCCATGCGTAGGATTAAACCAGGAAAATATTTGCAATATTTGTCCGCCAAGATCTATGGATTCAACATTATTCACAATTGCATGCATCTGAACACAGAACCTACAACAGGATTTTACCTAGCAGACCAGATAAGTTACATAAGAGGAAGACGAATATCATTTAATCAAAAAATCCAGGATCAGAAAGTTTTCAATCTATATAAAAACAATATTTACAAGTGGAGTGGACAAAGGGGGCTCTACATCATACTATCATTTCTCCAACTTCATCCTTATTGGACTTTGTGGAACAACCAATCAAGTCCAAATGCCAACTAAAGATGAAAAGAGGGTTCTACATAATTAAATTCGAGGTCCATGAGGTAACTCATTTTTTCAGAAAATGTGAATCGGGTCTAACGATTACCAATTCATGCCATACCACCATCCCATGAATACATCAAATATGAATTTAGGAGAATGTTTATGCTCAAACAGTCTGAAAGGGTTAAACAAAAGTTGGGAGTTGAATTGATGCAATCAAGATTTAGGGGCAAGTACTGATAAACGGAAATTCAAAGGGTTTCGAGAAGGTGGCAGGTTTTTAGGATTACAATGTTATTTCTACAAGTAAATCCTGTTAAGCATCTCTTAGAATTTCCTGACAACAAAAAGAGTTTGTTTCATGCATTTACACACCTTCCAATAATGACTACGGTCAGCAAATTGCTCTTGCTGCCCAAGAATCTTTCTAGAAACCAAGTTTACCAAAATGTACATAATTATGAAACTGAAATCATTCAACACAAAAATGTTTTCTCAGAGAAATAGGGTATTACTTGGAACCAGGATACCATCATCATCATTGTCATACACAATAGCAGCTTTGAACCCCGCCTTCTGCACTCTTCTTACTTTCTCATCGAAACTGCACCTTCCTCTAACAACCAGCGCAAAAGGGGAAGTAACATTCGAAACCCTTTCAACTTTATTACTTAAATCCGAACACGCGTCAAGAGGCTCTGCCAAGTATAATACCCCACATTCCCCAGACCCTTTAATCGCCGGAGCTGGAAATTCCCAACCAGAGAAGACAAAAGAACATAACTACAGAAATTCAGTCATATTTTCCAACACCAATAAACTTCAATTTCTTACTTTAATCAAACGTGAGTTACTTCAATACCTTATAACCAAAGTATTAAATCACATATTCAATCAAATTAAATAAGCTCAGCTAAAAAAAAGACCAACTTTGACCTCCCAGAAGACCAAGAGATCCAAGTGTCGTTAAATTTTCCCACACTTTCTCAGGAACCGAACAGAAAAAGCTGAAAGTAAATTTAACAAAACCAAAAAAAAAACAGAAAAAAAAAAATTAAAAGCTTACCGAAATTAGCTTCAATATCATCGAAAGAGAGAGTAACGTTTTTCCCAATCAACACCACACTGGCTGACGTCATCCAAGAACCACTCAATAAACAGAGAAACCATAATAACAATAATACCACAACACGATTCATCTTCATCCAAAAATTAAACCCAAAAAAAAAAAAAATCGATCCCAAAGTTAAAAAACAAAAAAAAC